ATTCGATGCGAAAGGTTTGAAAGAAGGGATGAGGAGTTCGAAGATTCGTTCAAGAAGCGATTATGGAATTGTTTTTCGCTTTTAGTAGGCTATGCTTCTTTAAATTGTGAAGGGGTTGGAAAGTAATTGATTTATCCATACAAAAAAACTTGCATAAATTGTATACTACCTCCAAAAGTCTATATATCTGTAGAGAAAAATTGATTAAGAACTAATTTTTGGTAGTGACTTTAAATGATATTGTAGTTGTTAAATCACTGAGCAAGGAATGACAAACAAATGACAGTTTATATGAATCCCTGGCACTTTATTATATTCACTCTTAAAATTTACTATTAAAAGAAATAATATTACAAACGGTAGCAATAAATCACTGAATAATAAATAACAAATGTTACAAATGTATATGGTTTAAACGATCTGACTAGTTCCTATATAAAACTATGTTTCCAAAAGGAAATATTCGAAATGTCGATACTTCATAGCACCGATATACCCCGTTCACCTCCTTATTGCTCGATTCGTTGTAAAATTGTGTGTCAAATAGCATTTCATCGTAAAATGGATCCGCATTCGCCTGTCCATTCCCCGGAAATGGGGTGCCGTATAAAAAGATAGCGACTGCATCGTAAAAATGCACCGGCGATGTAATAGGATGTCGAAATACTGGACGGTTCCTCATCTTATCATTTTTTTCCAGGGAATAATTCGGTCCGGCGGTGGAAGCCGCGAGGAAATATTCACAAGACCGATGACTTTTACTTCGCGGCTACGGCCAAAGTTCAATTCGACGCGTTGTTAATAATCTGTCGTATCGATCCGACGTGGTTGGCGGTGGCGTAAGGCTCAATTTCGGTCTCCATAAATTATTCATTGTTCTCCGGCACACGGGCCGCGATGCGCGTGTAAGTAATACGTATGCAGAATACAATACGGTGAGATAATTGGTACGTTATCGAGTGTATATCCTTCGATCCATCGATTAAAATGATAAATCCGCTCTTCCGGGCCGTGACGAGATCATATTTCCCGTGCGCCGGTGGCTAACGAGAATTTCGATCGCAAATAGAACATTCTATTAGGGGAATTTTATAACTCTCTTCGCAAATTGTCGCCTGTGATAAAATGAATAACGCTTATCGAGTTATTTCTAGTAGAACGGGTTGTTCGAATTTCCTGCACTAAATATTGTTGCGATCCGGTTACTCAATACCTGAGTAAAACGCATTGAAAACTGCTTCATTACAGTTGTTGCTGGCATCACAAACACGGGTCTTCACACACGCTAAATTCACGCTAATGCAACCTTACGCTTGGAAATATCATCGAGTCAGGATTAATCGAGAAGTACGCGAAAATCCATTTCCAAAATGCGGAAACATTTTCAGTTTATGGTACGCGTAATTGCAGTTGAGAGCATTCCCGACATTCGTTTAGTTAACTAAACGAGTAATATTGTAAGGGAATCTCCCATTTGTCGTCGTTCACGAGACCGACGAAATTTCTGTCACGACAGTCGACAGCGGATCTGGGGCGTTGATCTTGGCGATTACGCACGGAATGAGTTCGAGCACCAAATCGTTCCTGATCCGACAGTAAAGATAGAATTGTCTGAACTATATAAAATCACTAGAATTCATAACTAAAATGATAGAACGGAAAGGGATCACCTAATCATCTAAATTGGTCTATGAAATCCTAAATGATTATTGGTAAATTTTAATTGTTATTTAAATATTAACCTTACGTTCTCATACAAATAGGAAGTTTGATAATATATTTTTCATATTTTAAAAAATAACTGCACTCATGTTGACCTACACTTTTCGATATCGATGATATTCACTGAACTGTAAATTTTAAATTGTTGTTCAGTCGCGAAACGAGTTCAAGAATTATACGAGATAATCTCAAAATCGGTTGAAAGATCGATCTCGCATTACTATAAATACAGAAAATTTTCTATAATATTTGAAATATTTTAAGAAACAGCTGCATTCATTTTGACCTAAACTTTTCGATATTGATAATATTCACTGAACTGTAAATTTCAGACTGTTCAGTCGTAAAGCGTGTTCGCGTGTTATATGCGATAGAATCGAAATGGGTTTAAATTATAGAGTGCCAGGTGTTAAGTTTACTGTGACATTCAGTAGAAGTGTGTCAACAAGCTCAGGCAGACGCCAGATGCAACGATATCACGACACGGGAAACATTTTCCTAACGGGTACAGCTTACATCCAGAGGCATCAACTAAGAGCGATGTCGGCCATGAAAGTCTGAATTACCACACTTCTCAGCTCGTTTTTATCACTACATAAGAATTTCATTTTCATTGTTTACCATGAGCACTGCACATATCGCGTACATACAGCTCGAACTTCATGTTATTCTACAATTTATTCCTATTCAGTTGGCGCATATGGAATTGTGATTTCAGTTAGGAAATTTCGAACAATGTTATTTGTTCCCTTTTGTATTTCGTTTAATCAAAATGCTCATCGCTGTTTCGTATGTACATGTTTTTCAGCGTTAACTACACGATCATTATTTTCTGATAAAAACCAGTATTCCCTGACAAAACAAACGTTCTGATTGGTTCTATTGGAAATCCGCCCGTGGGTTATGATTTTCGTAAAAAATTGTTCGACCCTCCAATTTTTCATATTTTGATGTATAAGTATTGTTTACAATGAAAATGGGAAGATGAATGAATATTTGACGATAAAAATGTTCAAAGCAATGATAATTTTCAATGTAGGTAACAAACAGCTCACAAATCAAGTTTGCATATTAAAACATGTACAATATTGCTAATTATAATGTTTTTCTACAAATCATAATTCTTACAATATTGATTCTATCAAATATGCTTGTCAACCTTCATTTTGCAAGTCACCTTTCTAACACGAATCACAACTGACAAAAAAGGTATGTATCAAATATCTTCGTAACAACTGTATTCCCCAATTAAACTCAGTAGACACTCAAAACGTTAATACATTAAATAACTTAAATCACTGATTAACATTACTAACAACCATCAGTTTCACAAACACCATCCAAACAAAATAAGAATGCAATGCTCAAACGTCTCGAAACTTCAAAAGCTCGATTCCAAGCAGTGATTATTTACACCAGACATAACAAACCCCTGTAAATAATTATCACTGGCCAGTAATACGAGCATGTTCACCGAATGAATCCTCGAAACTCGGCGATCGCTTTGCGGTGATTCTAACTAAATTCTCGGCACAACTGAATCCTCGGCCAAGATCAGCCTTCAGCGAGCGGATCGCGAATAGGAGTCGGCCCCGTGGGTATCGATATCGCGATATACAGTCGCGATTCAAAACAGCGATTCGCGGAAGTTCCAGTGGGACCGGTTGGCCCGACTTCCAGTCGTTATCGCTTTAGCCTGGGTACATCTAAATTCGCCCGGGGCCGTCGGAATGTCTACGGCGCTCGCCCTTATTCGGTTAAGCCCGGACTGTCCTGCACTTAAGCTCGCATAATTTTCGCCCTAACTAGGGAGAAATTACGCCTCCGCTCTGTTTGCGCAAGGAAATACGCGCGTCCACCGCCCCGTATCAACCCGTCCCTCCCCGCGACCTTCTACTCCTCTTCCGCCGGCATCTACGGACCAGCTTTCCCGACCGTTCCGGAATTAACGTCGAGTGCAAACGTTCCGTGGGGCCACGAGGGTTCTCGAAACCCGAGCCTTTCGCACATTTTCCTCTCGGATTTCGCTCCGCCGGATAAAGGAATGCCTATACCGCGTTGGCCTCGTCCGTTCGGGAAACTTTCGTCATCCTCCCTTCCTCCCAGCGCTCCTCTCTCTTTCCATCGCGACCCCTTTCTCAGATGTTTCGGATAAGTTTCCCGCTGTCTTTCCTCGAGTCTCTGTGTTTTTCCGTGCTCTCCTCTTCTTTTTTTGTCTGTACTCCGCTTTTCCCTTTTTTCGTTTGGTATGCTCGGATGTTTCACTTCGGAACGGATTGCAGGACAAAATGGATCGGAAGTTTCTGAGAGCAGATGCTACGGCTACTTCGGGAGAAGTGTGTCACTGGCGCACGGTGACGCGGGTAGCGGAGTTTCATGAATGGAACGTGATCTTTCAGATTTAACGTTTGAAAATAATCTTCTGTTGTTCGCTTGGAGCGTTTGATGATTCGTTTCGATATTTGACATTTGATTAATTTTGAATTTAAGAATTTATGAAATGGTGCTTGGTGATATGGAAAACGGTGTATCATAAATGGCACGCGATCTTTCGGGTTTCCTGTCGTTTGTATGAAGTCTCAGTGATTTAGTGCTTAGGAATCAGAACTTGTTTCTTGTTTCAATTAATTTTTTACTTAAGAATAACATTCGGAGGAAATTTTTATGTGAAGCAGAATCGGTTTGCAGGCGTCTTAAATATCGATCACGATTTAATGATATCCAATATATAAATGCGTGCCGGAATTTCGTATTCAGATTAATGTCGTTGCTGATAGCTGTTTGATGTCCCGGTTCAAAGCTGTGACCAACAGAAATCCTCTCGCTAATAATATCATCAAGTAATGCCCTGAAAACTGGTAAAGATATCACTAATGAAGCTGGTTACTAAGCCGATCAATGCTTGATTTGCTAGTCGAAGCGGTGTCCTTTCGAATCTCTGTATGGTTGATCAGAGATAGAGATATTATATATACCGTTTGCGTCACGTTACTCGATGTTCGTTGTACTGTATTGCTTTTCAACAGCTTATTACTATCTTCCTAAATATCCCTTCTCAAATGAATAATAAATTCTCTCGAAAATTGTTAACAATATTTTCTCATGTATATCTTATAAATAATACTTTCTGCATAAGAATAGCATATTAACAATAATAGTGTACAAAAATAAACAAAATTTATTGATGTAGATGATAAAAAAAGTTTAAAGGGGTTAACGTGCACAAGATATCATTGAATTAACGTCGCGTTGAATGAAATGTAAAAGTGTTGTCTTACCAGTATTGTTCACTGGATCTCCGCCTCTCACCGGCCAACCGACGGACAGGCTCGCTTTGGACGAGAAGCTGAAGTACGCCAAAAACTGGGATCTCGTGGTGTTCTCGTTTATTCTGAAACAAGTACAGATACGTGAACTCAGCGTCGCTTATGTACACGGAACCCAAGTGTTTTACACGTTAAAACAATAAGAGGAACCGGTGATAAATATTACGGAGCACGCTATTGCGTGACTCGGCTTGGATATTTACGGATCTGGATCTTGCACGCTCGGGTGAAGAGATATACGGATACCTTGGAGTGATACAGGCTCGGTATCCTCTGGTAATTCGCTTCTTTCCGTCACTATTTCTTGCATGTTTGTCAGAGTCTGAATTGTTCAGTTTCAACGAAAAATACGTATTTTCTTAATTAAAATGATAAAATCGACTTTCTTCCATAGACATTATTACGTTTTGATTCAAAATTATTTGTCACTATTCTGTATTTAACAGAAAGATGTTGAATAATAAAAATGCTTGCGAATAGATATACAAGTTAAAATAAATAATAAAATAGTCTGTTCCATTAACATGCATGGAACTTTGGTAATCTTGTGAATTCATAAAAGCACCTTTAACGCTAGAGTTATCAAGTCCGTAATACAATTAACTTATAATTACTATAAAAGTTAAAAGAATAGATTTTTTATTTTATGCTGATAATCGTTACAACATGCAAGTGAAACTATTCATTTTTTGTAATTTCGAATACTTAATTCCTTTACGATATTAATAATTACAGAAGAAGAACACTGAAACCACTCATTGTAAGGGATACAATAGCCCAAGTATTCTACACGCACAGAATACTAAGAAATATGTGAAAAATGGAATTCTATTTTCCTAGGACCTCCAAACACGAAACCACCCTTTGAGACGTCCCTGGAAACGTTCAATCCCTTCGAAATCACTCCATGCGTCACCGTGACGAGGGGATTTGTGTCTCATATCTCGATCAGGCTCTCTCGTGAGTGCCAATCAACGTTATCCGCCGCCAAACACATTTCTTACGGGATAGAAAGCATTAAGGGGTTGGAGATAATCGGCGGATCGAGCAAGAACAGGGCACGTTCAGAAAACGGAAACGTGCCTGGAAACTAATAGAGTGTATCGACGTGTTATTACGCAGAACCAGTCGATCGCGGAGTAAAAGGTATTAAGTTCAGCGAGCACGAGAGTCTCCGCGACCTGGATGCTCGTGCTCGCAGCGAACTTTCCTTGTATCAGCCGACGATGATGAAGATGGAAGGTCGCGCGGGTTGAACGTGTAGTTCCTGAGAAATCGCCTGATCAAAAACAAAAAGAAATAATAGTAAAAAGAGACGAAAAAATAGGAAAGGTGTGCGGTGTCGAGCGTAAAACTTCTGCGAGATTGGTCGAACGTAGGTCCCGGGTCGGCACGGTCGTTCGTCGTGCCAGTGCTAGCTGTTTAAACAGCAAGCACGTCGAAGTCTTTCATCGAATGCCCGGGAATCGATAACCGAACTTTCCCCGGGGAGGGAATCCGGTCATTCCGCGGAATACGTATTAAATAAAAAAATGGGAATGGTTTCGCGCCACGACATTCAACGGGGTTTCCCCTTTAATTAAATCGAGTCGCTGCGCGGAAATTTCTTCCATTCCGAATGTCTTGATGAATAGGCCAAAAGCTCTGATCGTGTTCGATTGCTTGTTAAGTTTTTTTGCGGCTTCGTATGATTCGAAGCAATGACACGGTGTTTGTTCTTCAACGTCACGAAGAGGGGGGATGAATGCGGGAAGTATTTCATTGGTCGGCTTCTATGTGGCGCAAGCACCGCCTATTGTTGGTAGGAGTTCTGATTTGTAATCTATCTAATTTAATCAGTACTGTCGAAGAAGATTTTTAAGATGTTCAGAGAAAGTTGTGTTGGAAGTATGATTAGTTATCGTTTATTAATAAAATGAATAATTTTACTGTGAACAGATTGAAGTTGACAATTTTTATGGAGTTTCTTTTATTTTGATGGTTATCTGATTTAGGGGAAGATTGTTTGAATGAAGTTTGTGTAGCTTTTAAGTACAAATTCATCTATTTTAATGAATAAAAACAGTATGTGGAAACTATTTCTGTAAGAAGTAAACCTGCATTTTTGTGAGAATTATATAAATTTCAATATTAGTTGATATACGTTGTGAGTTCCTTTCCCATTGATACGAGTACATACGAAATAAGCTGGCGGAAACATTCAAAAGGCAAACACGACACGAGCAAGAGCAGGTCTACGTGTCGATATTGGCGACACGGATACGTGAGACACGACACTGATGACTCTTGCGCCTTGAGACTCGACACCGACGACTCTAGGGACTTAGCACCGGGAACTGGTTATCTTGGATCGTGAAACGCGATATTCTTGAATCCCAAGAAGCAATATTGACTTCATACGAGATAGTAATTGTTGGGCTACAGATTTTACACACTTCTACCGTATCTTAACACTACAACTACCGAGCAATCGAATTGTCTAATACGTATTTTCTTGCACAAATTACAAAACTGTATTTATTAAAATTTCGACTGATCTATATTTTACAATAGACCTATAATTTAGAAGTTACTCGAATTGCTCGATAGTTTTAGTGTTAAAAGATCTTTCAATATGTTGATTGTCAAAGGTATTTTACATTAAATGCAAGTATATGTTCGGTCCAAGCATTATTATGATAAAAGTAGTACATAAAAGTACTTTCAGGATATAGAAAATTAATATTAAGTATTCTAAACTGATAAACATGAATATTTCTTTTTTTCTAGTCAAAATGAAGTGCTATATTTCTGACATCGATGAAGTTTAGAATAAATATATATTTAAATTGCTTCTTTTTAACCTTTTAGCTACGGTGGGACTAGCCGCGAAGCTATACCTCTCTACGGCAAGATTTGACGCGACCTGCATACCATAGATGCAATATTATTGCGATTTGAGACTGATAGAATCTTCCACTCTGCAATTACATTTGATTAGACTATAACGTGCACAACTATCGATAACAGAGAAAGAATTGTGCCGCTATAGTTCAAAAAGATGATATACACGAAAGCCACTGTAGGCGCGTACAGTAGCTAAAAGGTTAACGTTAAATTATAAACGGTAACATAACCCACCTATAATGGCAGTAATGAATAAGGTAGCGGGGCAAGATGTTAATCAATGGGAATAGTAAATCAACATAGACTGCTTTTTCATAAAAAATCACATTTGTTAGGTTTCCACGAATTACGTTCGCTTGAATCCTCCTCGGTTCAAGAACTTCTCAGCCCGCGCACAATCTGTCTTGGAAGCACCAATAAGAAGAAGTTGCGCTGGCAGAACGTAACTCAGGATGCAACCGCGGCGGGAGAGGACAAGGAATAGACGCAGGATTCCGTAGACGATGGGTAGCGCGCCGTAGACGGTGCCCCTAATTCGATTATTTAGTTAGGTCAGGTTAGCTTTAGTTGGGTTAGCGTCGGTCGGGAGCCAGAGGTTACTCAAGACACTCGTAACTCCTAATTCTATTTACTTACAATAAATCTTCTTCATTCGGCTCCTCGTCAACCGTTATATTTGATTAGCTGCCAATGTGGCGACCGGTAGCCACGGTTACCTCTCAAGCGTTACGTCGTCCAAACATCAACGACGTTTTTGGCCCGTTTCACAACTATCCGTGTACAATTGAATGGTCTAACTCTTGTTTCTAAGTTTCCGAAAAGAAGAAGCTTTTCTAAAATGATCTTGGATTAATTATGCATTAATATTACAATTACTAATATTAGTAATTAGTAACGATTACTATTAGTAATAATATTGTAATATTGGTATTTAATTAAGCCTAGAACAAAAGCTTTATTATTATTCTAAGCCACTCGATTCTGACTGACAAAGCAGTCAATTAATCAAATCATGGCTATTGGAATATCTATTAATAAGTCTTTATTCATTAATTTGATTAAAATAAAGCTTTTAGAAGACCATGCAATAACCGTTGATAAGTAAACTGTTTCGAACCAAAACAAACGTTTCGTCCGTCGTCACAGGTATTTCGGACATCGAAAATTGCTCTGTGTCCTTGTGAAAGTAAGAACCGATAGAGGATTATACAGAGTTCGGTTACGACGCCGCAAGAGGCGATCTTGGTTTTACGGGCGGAATCGATTGGCACCTGTGCGCGAAAAATCTGTCGAAGCTGTCGTGGCTATAGGGGAGCTGGAGGCCCTCTTGTTAACATCGAAAGGGCTGACAAAGGGGCAGGCTGACTCTTAACATCGTGCTTCGAGACGGTGAATAACCTTTTCTCCGCGACCAACCAGCAAGAGGGAGGGAGGGAGAAAGAAGCGCCGCGTCGGGAAACGATTCTTGCCATTCGAGCCTTTTTCTTGTTGTTCTGTTTTTCTTTTCTTCCATTTTTTCTGCTTTAAACGCGAATCGCGCGGCTAATGGACGGAAAAAGGACCTTCGGTTCTGCGGAATAATGCGAAGTTGAAGTTACAATCACGACACTCAACGCATTACAACGATTTACTGATAAAGCTGTTTGTTGACGCTGTAACGGTCAAAGTTCATATTATCACAAAATAAAAATGCATTTTTGTGGAAACATTCAATAAGAACTGGTTTATGACACAGATAGCTGGGATCTGTTATTTTTGAGGCCTCGCAGGAAGTCGCCAGTTTTTCTGCTATGGATATTACGCTGTTGAATATTCTTAATTTTCGATATACTCCAATGTTCAATAGGTGAACCCTGATTCTATAGGGAAGCTTCTTTCTACATCAGAAATTATGTTAAAGTTAGTTGAAGTTACTTTTGCACCAATCTGAATATCTAATTGCTATTTATTATACAATGAAACTTACTATTAACGTCACATTTTCCGTTTAACTCTCAGTATTCATCACGAAATATGTGACACCTTGAATGCATAACAGCGACAGTTGTAGAACATTGTCTAAATTAAACAGATGAAACGTCTGTCAGCGTAAGCATTAATTTCCTCATTTGGGTTATACTGCGACGTGCTAAATGTAGTTGACAACGAGCCGCTGAAACGGTCAAGTATTGCTTGGACA